TGCTTAAGAGCAGTTTAAGGCTGTCAGCTTCCAACAGGGTCAGATCTGTGAACTGAGATCTTTTTTTTTTTTAAGTTCCTTTCTTAAAATTATGCTTATAGCAAAAAGCCTTCTTACCCAACCAGGGATCAGCTCCAGCTGTTCTTCTAAATAGTTTTTTTGAGGGAGGGGCGGGTACAGGGGATTGAACCCAGGAACACTTAACTATGAAGCCATATCCCCTGACCCTTTTTATTTTTTCTTTGGAGATAGGGTCTCACTAGGTTGCTTAGGATGTTGCTATGTTGCTGAGGTTGTTGACCTCTTGCAACCCTCCTGCCTCAGCCTCCCGAGTCACTGGGATTACAGGTGTCCACCACACCCAGCTCCCCCAAACAGTCAATTCAAGTGGAAACTACTTTTCTTCTCAGATGGGGGTTTTCTAGATGGCTGCAATGGCTGACCCCTCGAGGATCCCTAGGTCTGGGGTGGGTGTTGTGTGACTGTTGGCCCAGCTATCTGGAAAGTGGCCCCATCCCTGCTCCTTGCCTGGAACAAGAGCTTTGTGGCCGCATGAGCTGGTCCTTTTCATGCCTGGGGAAGTGTGACCCATTAGTGTTCCTATTTATTGCAGTGTAGAAATTTTGTGTAATTCACTAAGGCCTGTGAGGTTAGGAAGGGCCAGAGGAAGAATCTACAGACTGATTTCAGAGATGTGCTGGAAGCCAGCGGCATCCGCCCGAGCAACCTGGGAGCATAGTGGCCTCTACCTAGAAAATGTGAGGGTGTCCAGTCACTGAGAAGATGCTGGTTTATCCTGTGGGGTAGACAAGTGGTTCTCAAACTTGAACTTGCATCAGAATCTCTATTGAAACACAGATTGCTGGGCCACCTAGTGGAGTCCCTAACTCTCTGGATCTGAAGCATGAGGCTTGGGAATGTGTAATCCTGACAAGAACCCAGGCATCGCTAATGTGGCCAGCCCAGGGATCCCTCTTGAGGTAGACTGACCTTGCTAAGTGGAAAATCTGATGAAGTATCACTCAAGGTCTGCAGAATAATGAAGAGTACTATGACTCTTAGTCCTATTTGAATTTTGCAATTTTTATTTCAAATGAAAGTCTATTGAGGGTGCTTCAAGTATGAAAGTTGTGTTTCTAAAAACAGTAGTAGAAGAAAACAAAGTGTCATGTAAGTGGCAGGCATGTGGGTGTTGGTTATTGTCTGTGTTTCTATGCATTTGAAATTTTATAAGATAATTTTCAATGAAAGGAAAGGCTAGAGGTTTAAGTTGATTTTGGGGGGCTGAGTCCCAGCTTCATGGGGAAGGAGTTCATTTCTGAAGGCTCCTTCCAACTAAGTAGAAGAGAAGCCCTGCTATTCCCCAGTGCCTTGCTTTCTAAACCCACCTTGTCTGCAAACATCATGCTCAGCCCCACGGAACGCCTGCTGAACAATGCCAACACCTGAGTTTGCTTTAATTTTCCTGCTCATTCATCTGGGGAAAATGTCTGTCTCTCCATGGCAATGCTGACAGCCAGAGGTGAGCTCCTGAGTCCTGCCTGTGCTCTGCATACCCACCACAGAGCTGTTTGCAGACAGGGCTTTCCTGTGATGCTGAGCGAGGGACCCTTGTTTTCTCTTTTGAGGAAGTTCCTCTCATGTGTCAGCTCGTACCCTCAAATGTACCGCCCAGCTCCCCAGGGCCCTGCACTATGGGTACTGTATGCTCAGTCCTGCTTCTTTGAGCTGCATCATTTCTTTATGGAGCAGCACCCAAGGTGTGGGAGGATGGCTTCTTCCTTCTCATCCTTTTTAAAAGATACCTGAAGAAAACAAAATAGTGATCAGTAATGATTATTTTTATCCTTTCCCTGCATTCCCAGCTCACACCCTGCTAGGCTTCCACGGTCTCTCCCCAGGACTATTGCAATAGCTTCCTAAGGGCTCTCCCTCTTTCTGCCCTGTCCTCCCTGTGTCTCTCCTCAGCATAGCAGCCAGAGGGGTCCTGTTAAAATGTAATAGGTGGATTTTGTCACCACTTCAATAACTTGCATTCTAATTCTAGAGAAAAAGATGCAATCCTTATAAAATCCTATGTGGAACGGTGCACAGCCTCCTCTCTGACCTCTTCTCCTTCTTCCTCCCCGGGCTGACTTGGCTTGCCACTATCTCGTTCCTGCCAGTCAAGTTCAATGCCGCAGGGCTTTTGCACTTGCTGTGTCCTTTGCCAGCGCAGTCTTCCTCTACATATCCCCATAGCTCTTTTTCTTGCCTCCTTCTGGTCCCTTCAGTTATAACATTGCCTTGCAGATCTTGTTAGACAATGACCCCACCCCACTCTGCCCTCCCCATGTGTCTCTCTCCATTGTGCTCCATTATGCTTCTCACTGCCTGAGGTACTGTGTCATTCACACAGTACATCAGTCACACAATTGCTTGGCTCCCCTGTTGGAATAAGAGTTCTGCTCAGGCAAGGACTTTTCCAGGACCCAGGAGGCACTCTGGTATTTCTTGAGTAAATGAATGACAGCTACATTTGTTGTGTGCTTACCCTGCTCTGGGCACTGGTCTAAGCACCTCTGTGATATTTTATCCTTCCCACATCTCTACGGAGCAGGTACTGTTAATTACCTTCTTTGATGAAAGTGGAAATCTTACAAAGCGTAAGACGCTCAGGTCAGGAGTAAAAGCAGCACTTCAGTGTTAGAGCTCTACAAAGGCAGAGAACCAATAGGCAGAAGATCTAGTAGAGTGCTCGAGAGTTGTCTATATGTAGCTATCTGTTTCTACACACACACACACACACACACACACACACACACGCGACCATCTGAAGGAATCGACTCATTTGATTATCAGCTGGCAAGTCTGAAGTCTTCAGGTGAGGGTGGAGATACAAGAAAGAGTCCTTGTTGAGTCCTGAGTCTGGAGGCTGTGGGGGCATGATTTCTTTCCTTCTTGGGGGTGTCAGTCTTTTAAGGCTTTCACCTGATTGGATGAGGATATTATGGGGACTAATCTTCTTTACTCAGTCTTATGACTTAAATGTTAATTACATCTAAAATATGCCTTCATAGCACCATCTAGACATGTTTTTGCAAGTACCTGGGCGCTGTAGCCCAGCCCCACAGACATTTCCCTCACCTCCCACTGCCCGAGGGGTGGTGTGAGATGGTCAGGTTGGTCTCACTCACTTCATCTCCCAGTGACTTCTTTTCTGTGATGATGGGACAAATGGACTGAGGGGCTACACTGAAGGTCTTTGGTACTCGGGAGTTAGCTGTCCTGGAAGTTATTCTCTGACTCAAAGGCCACCCGAGCCATTAAGTGGTCTTTTCCTCATGTGAACCCATGAAGGCTCCAACCCACCTTCTCTTCTCACCCTCCACCTCCCTGGAAGCCTTCTCTGTTTTGAGACAGGGTCTTGCCTAGGCAGGCCTTGAACTTCTGAACTTTAGGGATTCTCCTGCCTCAGCCTCCCATGTCACAGGCCACTGCACTCAGCTTTGTCTCCTTCATGTGCAAGAGTGGAATTGCCCTTGCTGATTTGGACTCCTCTGCCCATTGCCCCCTTCCAGTGCAAGATCCGGAGGGCAGGCTGTGGAGGCTCTCCCTGCTTCTTGCCTGGCTTCTAGCTGCAGGAATCTTGGGAAGAGGACAAAGCTGTGGAATAAGAATCCTCAGCCAAGTGTTGCACCACTTTCAGCCCCATGACTCCGCCAGCCACTTAATGTCTCTGAGCTTTGGTTTCTAAATCTGTAATAATGGTGATGATAATGCCAGCCTGCCCTGTTTGGTTGAGAATTCAATCTTCCATCTTTTCCAAAACCAGTTCCAAGAGGAGTGAGCCAAGCTTAGGCAGGCCCAGTGCGGGTAGAGAAATTGCTATGGGTCCAACGGGGCTCAGAAACCTCAGGACGGCCTAGGTGCAGTGGCTCATTCTTAGCTAATGGAGCCAGCTTGCCACTGCTGGGACAGGCCGGAACCCTCTTGAGCCTCAGTTTTCCTGTGGCCCTTTCCCTTCCGTGGTGATTTTGTCCCTCAGAAACTCTCCTGTGCCAACACAGGCCCAAGCTTCAGCTGGGTGCACCTACCCAGTTGCTGTGCAACCTGAGCTGCCAAGGGCCACCTGGATTGGCCCAAGACCCTCTGTTGGACACTTAAGAATGTGCTGTGGAGAACTAAGTCACCCACTTTGAGCATTGTTCTTGCTATATTACACTCACCTGTTTCTTGGGGTACAATAAGCAATAGAGGAATCAATGCAAAACCACCCTTCCTTCCACGTTCCACCCCAGGGGACTGCTACCACTCTGGGATACGTGTGCTTGTGAGTGTGTGTGCACACACATAGCTATAGATCATGCCATATAGATCATATTCTTCAATCTCTTGTTCCCTTAATGTTATCTCTTACACATGTGCATCTATTTTTATTACATGTAGTTTTCATTCTATTGCCTCACTTAAATTATCTCTACCATACTCATGGTTATCACCAGAATGTCCACATCATTTCTCTCCCTTCTGATATATAATAATACACTAAACCTTATTTTAGATTATATATGTCAAACAGCTTTGTACATGTGTATCTTTTTGCTTCTGTGGAATTATCCTTGTAGTTCAGTTTTAGAGTCTACAATGTTACCTCAAAGTATAAATATTTTTATTATTCTTCATACCTATTTCTTGCTAAAAGGTAGTATCAGTATTCTGTGTCATAAAATATATATTCTTTGTGGTGTTGGAGATTGAACCCAGGGGCACTGTACCACTGAGCTATATCCCCAGTCCCTTTTCTTTTTAAGACAGGGTCTAAATTCTCCAGGCTAGCCTTAAATTGTGATCTTCCAGCTTCAGCCTCCCTAGTTGCTGGAGTTACAGGTGTGCACCACCACATCTGGCTAAAATTACTTTTTTTTTTCCACTACCATCTAGATAATTTGGGGAAGAGGGATGAGAAAAGATCTATTAATAATGGCTTGGAAATGTGGTATTTTTTCTTTTCTTCTCAGCACAACGAGCTCCACAGCCAGCAGCTGCGACACCGAGTTCACAAAAGAAGATGAGCAAAGGCTGAAGGATTATATCCAGCAGCTCAAGAATGACAGGGCTGCGGTCAAGCTGACCATGTTAGAGCTGGAGAGCATCCACATCGATCCGCTCAGCTATGACGTCAAGCCCCGGGGGGACAGCCAGAGGCTGGACCTGGAGAACGCTGTGCTGATGCAGGAGCTGATGGCCATGAAGGTGTGCTGTGGGGTCTGCCTGCTGCTGGACTGGTGGGGAGATCACAGGCCTGGGGGTGGGGGCGGGGGCAGCAGATTAGAAATCGTCCCCATCTGTGTTCAGCCTCTTCTCCCCAAAGTAGAGTCAGAGCCTTGCTAGTGGACAGGGTGGTTTCCATTTGTCCAGGGGTCATTTGGGCTGGACATTCTAGAGGATGCTTTGGGGTGTCTCAGCTGAACTCTAGAATACTTATTCCTCCAAGAGAAGCCAAGCCAGACATCAACAGGCTAGAATAAGCCTCTGTCCTTTTACAATGACCCTTAATATCAAGAATGTGTGGAAGTATTTCTTGGGTCACTAATGCTGATGTTAACTGGAGGTGGGGCCAGACCAGGGTGAGGCCAGCTGCAGAACTTGACTGAGAACCCTGGTTTTTTGACACCCTGGAGACGTGGGTGCAGTGTGAAGCCTGCTCAGACCACAGTGCCTGCAGGGAAGTTTGGCGATGCTGTTCAGGCCAAATATCCTATAAGATCTTGGGCCGCTCACCCACTGGCTGAGTTCTCTATCAGCATTTGCAGGGCAGAGGGAGCTTCTGGGAAAACAGCTGCCACTCATTGGTAAGCAGTTAACCTGTGACTCTGCTGACTCACAGAGGTGGGAGCTTGCTTGAGTTGCTCTTGCAGAACCTGGGGCAGCACTGGGCTGAACTGCCAGGTGATCAGGGAGAATTAGAGCCTGGGAGCCATCTCTCTAAACCTGATTTCCAAACTCTGCTGTTTTGTGAACAGTGGCCTGAATTGCAGAGTCTTGGATTCTACCATGTCCCTGGCTCACAGGCATTGGGACATGCCATGGGCATTCTCAGGCAAAAGCCAGCTCACAGCTTAGGAACTGGCAGCAGAGTGGGTCACAGCAATGCCACAGCAATAGCCCACAATATTTCTCTACCATGGAGACCAGTACAGTCCCCAGAAAGATTCCCCACTGCCTCTGGAGAGAGGGCAGAAGCTGTCAGTAGTAGTTATCTCAACGCACTTGGGCACCCTGCTCAGCAAGTCCTTGTCCTTGGGTGCTGGAACTTGTGCCTGGGAAGACTCTGGGCAGTGGGTGCCGATGTGGGGAGCCCACCATTTTACTCCATGTCCATACTTGCTTGTCTCCATCCAGCCCCTCGGTTCAGATTCCTTCCCTGGAGAGTTCTCATATCACGCTGGCTGATCTCTCCTCTCACTGCCCAGGACCCGGCCTTGGGTCTATAATCACAGTGGCTCCAATTAGGAGCTCCCCCTTTGTGGACACTTGCTCCCCGTGGGCATGAGCCATGAGGCCACCCTTCCATTATTTATTCCAAACTTCATATTTCCTTTGGCTATAGACTAAAATTTTCCTTTTTATATTGTGGCCAACATGTGGTGTGACAAATTCAGTGTTATACTGGCCATGTTTCTGTGGCATAAAAGCTCTCTGATATTCCTTTTGCTATGTGAAAATAAAACATGCATGATCTTGGAACTTTGCTGAAAGAGTAAAAATTACAGAGAGCTGGGAAGAGACAACCCATAGTCTGAACCTCAGGATGGGGGGGTTCTGTCACAGTTCACTTCCCAAGAACTTCTCCAAGGCTAAGCATCAGCCCATCGCCTTTTCCCCAGTGCGTTTGCCAATACGTAGTCACCAGTACAGACTCATTATCCAGCAGCTTTTGTTAGATTTTTACCCATTTTATTCTAGAATATAACTACAGAGACACTCAATTTTCCTTCCAAGTTGGTTTTTTTTTTTTTTTTTTTTTTACTTCTTTTATATGATTCTTGGTAAATACCTTCTTTCCTCTAGACGATTTACTTGGTTGCTTTAAAAATCCGCCCTTCTTTTTTGGATGACCTATGCTTTCTTTGTGACCCCTACTCCTTTATTCCATGAATCATTTGAAATATTAGTTTTTCACATTCTGTTACTTCTGCTTCTGTGAATGCCAGCTCTCACTTCTGTTGCGACTACTGATTCTTCCTCCGTGTACTTCATTCTCATTTTCTGTGATGGGGCGTGGAGAACATGTGTACAGGCTCATCTGTGGACATCTTGTCTCCGGGGCTCCTGTGGGCCCTGGGTTGTTGCTGTCCCTGCAGAATGATTCTGTTTAGATCGGTGAGACCTGTGGGTTTCAGAGGTTTATTGCTAGTTTGGGGTACATTCTTGGCTTAAGATTTCCTCCACCACACATACATATGACACAAGTTTGAGGTTTTGATTCCTCAAAAGGGCCTTTCCTTTCTTTATTCACCCCATAGCTTGAGATATGACAATTTTTTTAACCAAATTGCCAGAAAGGAAGTTTTCTAGTCTCTTATTTTGGACAATACTTTGAGAGTCCCCGCTGATAAAGGAGTCACGGACCTACCCTTGCATAGATGATAAGATCCCAGATGGCGGGGCCTGCAGACCTGCCTCATACCTCTGTCTACCTTGCTGGACTTCTCTCTTCATCTGTGGACCTATGGGTTTTCCTCCTCTTCTTTCTAACTTGCATTTATGTTTGAGTGAGTGTGCACATTAGCTCAATAAGTGGTGTTGCTAGAATCGTCACAATCCTGCTTCTGATGGGAAAAAATGAAATACCCTTCATTGTGATTTTTATGCCTGGTCTTCAAGAAAAAAAAAATTGGCCTGTTCTTCTGAGCTCATTAATAATTGGCTTGGTCTTCTGAACTCATTAATTCTGAGCTCTCCTGTATCCCCGAGAAGGCTTTAAACTACCTTGAGGGTAAAAACATGAACCCAGGAGAGCATACCAGTTCATTACCATCAGGGGAAGCCAGAACCAAAGGCCTTGGTGAGTCCATCTGAAGGCAGCCCAGCTTTCTGAAGAGCCCTTTTGAGCAAGGAATCATAGAAATAAACCACTGGGGAGACTAGGCTGATGGTCACACAGTGGTGACCCACCCTTGAGGAGAGGTGAAGGGCCACGGTCATGATCAGGCACATCTTGAAGCAGGGGGGAAGCAGCAGAGCTTAATGTTGATGAGCCTGGGCTCTGAGCCCAACAGCCTGTGTTCAAATTCTGGCTTTCCAGCCTGTCCAGAGCCATGGGCCTGTGAATGTCCCTCTGCATGCCTCAGTTTCCCATTCACAAATGAAAATGCTTATAGTACCCATCCTGGATTGGGAGGAATAAATGAGTTACTTCTTGTGAACCGTTAAAACAGTATTATGTGCTCAATAGAGGCTGGTGGTCCAAGGTTAGTGTTGTCCCATTTTGGATTCACTTCTTACTCTCTATAGGAAACAACCATTTTAATCCTTTAAGATTCTCTGAGAAGTTATCTAGCTGGGGTGAGCTTAGTGGTAGGTTGTGTGCCTAGCATGCACAAGGCTACTCTAGGTCTAATCACCAGCACTGAAAGAGAAGTTATCTGAAGAGAAATCCCGTATAAAGGACTCTATTCCCATTGCTTTCACTGGAGCCTTCAGAAGTAGACAAAAGGTAGAGGATGTTGTTGTGGTGGGAGTCCCCCACCTGCATGGCTCAGCTACAGGGTCACAAGGGTGCTATCTGGGGTGGTTAAATTATAGCTTGGTGCCGTAGCAACTGAAGTGGAAATCAGAAGAGACCCAATGAGACCCAGCTTCTTACATGGATATACAACCTTGGGCTGCTCCAGCTCAGCCTCTATATGCCAGAGAACTGGTTTCCAACAAGGCAAGTATGCCCATTGGGGGTCCTAAGAACTATTAGGAAGGCTTTCCTTACACTGAACCAAAATCTGCTTTCCTATGACTTGTACCCATTTATTTACTGCTAGTCCCTAGAATGACAAAGCACATAGCTTTGTCCACACATCAGTCCTGTCTCTGTCCAGTGGTCTTATTCCCAGTTTCAGAGTGATCACTATCGCAGGCCCTGGGTGGTAGCCAGACCCCCATGACACTTGGTGCTGGCACATAACGGGCATTCATACACCCTGTGCTCCTCACTCTGTAGGAGGAGATGGCTGAGCTGAAGGCACAACTGTACCTACTGGAGAAAGAGAAGAAGGCCCTGGAGCTGAAGCTGAGCACGCGCGAGGCACAGGAGCAGGCCTACCTGGTGCACATTGAGCACCTCAAGTCTGAGGTGGAGGAGCAGAAGGAACAGCGGATGCGGTCCCTCAGCTCCACCAGCAGCAGCAGCAAGGACAAGCCCAGCAAGGTAGGGCTGGGTGGCACAGGGCACCCTTGGCTCAGGTGGTACTTCCTGCCCAATGACCACTGACGTCTCTATCTGACTGCCTCAGTTTCCTTGTTTGGATATGAGCTGCTGGTCTTTCCTAGATGGCCAACAGGATGACATTGAGCGTAGAGAAACCAAATCCACATTGAAAAAAACAAATCTCACAAAACATTTTCACACGTGGCAGTCTAATCAGAGGAGTGGTCTGTGCGATGGCCCAGTGGTCTGATATTGGTCTCACCTTCTTATAGTCCCCCTGCATCCTGCAGCCATCATTTGTTGATTTGTGGTACTTCTGGGCTAATCACTACATTAGTATCTCCTTAGATCTCTCATCTCTAAAGAAGGAATATCTGTGTCCATTTGTATGAGGAAGGTGAGGCTCTAAAGAAGCGAGGGGTCTCCAGCTGAAAACAGCAGCATCAGCCTTTAACCCACACTTGGCTGACAGGCTGGCCTCCCCTCATCTGCCTGCCTCCTCTGCCCTGGCAGCATTTCAGCCACAGTGGGTGGTGAACAGGAAGCAGCCTGAGGGCAGGGGAGGAGGGGACCGGCCTTGGATTACAGAGCATGTACAACATCTGTGTGTGTGTGTGTGTGTGTGTGTGTGTGTGTCTGGTGTTATAATTTTATAAACCTGCATACCTATCAGCTCCCCAGGTCTTTTTTCCTAAAATCCAAGCTCATTCTTTCTCTGTTCCAAATAACTGCATTGAAAAAGGAAAGGGCGGGGGAAAGCAAGCTCTGGACCCTAAAGAATTATATTCCTCATCTGGGGTACTGTTTTATTCTATGCCTCATACTAATAAATGCACCTTCTCCTAAACTGAGTTTGTTTCAGACCTAGAATTTGTGGGCATATGCTGACTTGTTTTGTAAGCGGCCTCTCAGCACAAGGGCAGGGAGGTCTCCAGGAGAGTTGGGTACCCAGGAAGGAAGGGACAGTGCTGGTGCCATATGGTATGAATTATCACTACCTAAATACCTCAGAGCTCTGCAGCATGCTTCACAAATGGCCAAAGCTACAACTTTCCCTACTCCAGGTAAGGAACCTGGAGAGCACACAGCCTGGCACCTAGTCATGCCAGCTCTCGTGGGACCCTGGCTGCTCTCAGTAATCCATTCAGTTGAGGAGTGTCATCTGACATAGTATGCTAGGACCTGGGCAAGCTGCAGGAGGCAGCTCCATGGTAGACCAATGAGGACTGTCCTCCAGGAATTGAAGGGGAGGGTGATAAGTAGACATGATCAGAGTGGAGTTATGGGGTGTTCCAAGTTCCGGTATCAGCTTATAGGGTTATGGGAGACCGTGAGTTGGCCACAGAGTTCAGACTTGGAGGAAGATTCAGTACAGGTTGTCTGGAGGAAATGATCCTGGTTCTAAACCGAGACCCCAGAGGATGGACTGGTCTGGAGGACCAGGGGGAAGAAGGCACACACTCGAGGCCAGTGGGACAGCATATGTGAATATAGAGAAAAGAGAAACCGATGGTGGAGGGGTCAGCCAGCCATGTTCTCCTGAGGACAGTGAGGAACCATGGAAGAGTCTGTCTGCAGGGAGTGATGTGATACAGTATGAGCTTTGGAAAAGACACTGGCAAGTGAACCAGAGCTTGGGGAGTCATGTTGGGGGTGGGGTGGGCAGCACCCTACATGGTGCAAGTCATATGATCGTATTTTCTGTCCCATAAAACACCCTCAAAATCTTTAATAGGTTTTCAAGTTTGTTAGTGGTCAACTGGGGACTGAGCCTGAGAGACAGAGCTCTAGTCTGTGTGTGTTCTGAGGATATGGTGGGGATGGACTCACCAGGCTCCTGCCAAAGGCCCCCTGAGCTAAGCATTGTCTCCTAATACTTGGTATTTATTTTGACTGGGGGAAGCACTGTGTTTGGTGGAGTACTTCAAAATATAGAAATTTCTCTAATAGAGAAGGCCAGATGATTTTTTTTTAACATTATAGTAAGATGCTTTATGAGGGTTCCCATGTACCCTCATAAGTGTTAGGAAATTCACTTAGTAAATAGATCTAATATTTGATAATCAGCCTACTCTATTTTCAAATATTGTTTCTATTTACTATTTCAATAAAATCTCCCCTCTGGGCTAGTCTTCTTTGTTGGTCTTATTTGCTGGAGATGAGGCCGACGATCTAGAGCAGGGATCTGCAAACTTTTCTGGAAAGGAGCAGATAGTAAATATTTTAGGGTTGTGGGTCATGTCCCTGCCCTCCTAGGGACACCAGTGGGTGTGGCTGTTGTTATTAATGCTTTCTTGATGGACACTGAAATCTGAATTTCATGCAATGTCTGCCATCACAAAATATTCTTCATTTGACTTTTTGTCAATGACTTTTAGGAAAGAAAAACCAGTCTCTACCCGTGGGCTGTATATAACCGGGTGGTGGGTGGGCCACATTTGGGTCTAGAACATCCACTCTTGTTCCATTGGGTGGATATCCCTGCTTGTTTAAAAACTTCCCTCCAGCTAATAAACTGGGTCCAAAATCCATTCCTAGTGGCGTTCTGTTTTTGCAGTCCTTGTCCACACACAACAGGCATTACCACATAAATTCAGCGAGAGGCACTGTGAGACGAGGCAGTCCCTGTCTTTAAGGAGTCGTGTGGAATGTCAACATCAGAGATTGGATGTACAAAAAGCAAGGGTATTATGGGATCTCACAGATGCCGTTGGCTGCTGTGGGCAGGCTTGGCTCTGTGAGGACAGCTAGATGGACAGGAGCAAGCCCAGGTAGAGGGCACACCAGAGAGAAGAGCGTTCAGGTGTTGGGTGTGCTGCTGCCCAGGATCCCTCAGGGTAGGTATTGTTTCTCTGTGAGAGTAGGCTGAGAAAAAGGGTGGCTTCTGTCATCTGGACTTGCAGCACTGGATTCATCCCACAGTGATAGAATTTTCTGTTTACATTCCATCTCCTGCAACAGATCACAGGCTTTTTATTCTGTGGCCTGGAGCATGATAGACCCTCAGAACAGATGTCTATTGAGCACATCATCTGATGAGTTCCTTCCCAATGGCCACCTCATTATGCAGTGTCACTGCAGCTCTGTTTGTAAAGTAGAACAGTCACACGGGCATGCTTGCTGCTTGTGAAGTCTTACCTCTGGGATTCAGGAATTCTAGCTTCTTATGTTTCTCAGCTGCAAAAGGGGAGAATTCACCTCAAATGATACACAGTCCCTGTCTGATAATACTACATGAGGGAAGGTGAGGTGCATGGGGTGCATTTATTCTTCTCCTTTCTTGAGTTTTCCAGATGATTACTTGGAACCCAGTAAAGCTCCTAAATCTAGAGAAGACTGGCTTTCTCCCCAGGAGAAGTAGGATGGGGCAACTAGGATATTCATAAGTATTGCTTATTTGAAGAGACTCATCTGAAGCCAGACAGCCTGGATTTAAGTCCTAGAGCTGCCATCTCCTGGCTGGTGACAGGGCAGTGTGATCTCTCTGTGACGATTTTCCTTTTGGTAAAGTGAGGATAACAGTAGTACCTTCGTCAGAGGGTCCTAATGAGGACTCCATGAGTGAATGTATGTGGTGGGCTTAGACCCCAGTGGGCTCTCAGAACACTGGGGGTCATTATGGCTGGGGCCAAGCAGCCTGCAAAGGTAATCGGAGGTCTGGGAGCAGAGGGGGCTGCCTATGGTTTGCTGCCAGGCTTTCCCCTACACCCCGATCTGAGGCTACCAGCCCCACGCTGTTCATCCTACATGCTCTGCAGCAGATTTGAGTTCCAGGTGCTCTCAGGCTTGGTTTCAGCCCTGACAAGAATGTGTTTGCTGTCCTCAGGAATGTGCTGATGCTGCCTCCCCAGCTCTGTCACTGGCTGAACTAAGGACAACATGCAGTGAGAGCGAGCTGGCTGCGGAGTTCGCCAACGCCATCCGTCGGTAAGCACCCTTCCACGTCCCCGTTGTGACTTATCCCACAGATGAAGACGTAGTTCTGGGCTCTCTTGGCTGCTCATGTCAGTTCTTCCTGATCACACGGGACTGCCTGGAGAGAAAGTGCTAGTTATGTTCTACTTTTGCCCAGGCCTTGGAAGCCAGAAATGGAGAAGCCAAGTTTGTGCTAGGCCTTTCAAAAGCAGAGTGGTGGGTGGAGGGGAGTCATGCAGGCAGTTATCCCATCTGCAGATAAAAAGATGTCTCTTCCTTTCCTTTGCTGTTAGGTTGTTTGCAGTGGCTAGAACCTTTGGGATGATGTACACCCATAGTGACATGAAAACAGGCACCCTTACCTGCATGCCACCTTTAGTGGCACTGTTTTCCCTCAGCACTGGTGGCCCTTTTCAGTGAGGGGCCTCATGTATTTATTCAGTCCTGGGAAATTTCCCTGTTATTTCAGTGTGTCTTCTCCTACCTTCTTTTTCTTCTTTTGCAAGGAGAGGCAGATAGAGTTCATCCAGCTGTATCTTCTATATCCTAACTTTTCATATTTACTGTTGCTTTTTGCTTTGGGTTCCATAGCAGCACTGTCCATGTAATATGAACCACACATGTAATTTTTAATTTTCTGGTAACCACATGAAAAAAAAAATTAACAGGTGAAATTCATTTTAAAAACACATTTAGGGGCTGGGGTTATGGCTTAGCGGTAGAGTGCTCGCCTTGCATGTGCAAGGCCCCTGGGTTCGATCCTCAGCACCACATAAATAAAAGTTATCGTGTCCAACTACAAAAGAACACATTTAGCCCAATGTATTAAAAATATCATTTCAACCAGATATGTACTTTATGTATTACATTAAATCCTAAGTACAGCTGGGCATGGTGGCACACTGTAATTCCAGTGGCTCTGAAGGCTGAGGCAGGAGGATCTCGAGTTCAAAGCCAGCCTCAGCAAAAGCAAGGCCCTAAGCAACTCAGTGAGACCCTGACTCTAAATAAAATATAAACAAGGGCTGGAGATGTGCTCAGTCATTAAGCCCTCTGGGTTCAAACCCCGATATCAGAAAAAAAAAAAAAAATCCCAAGTTCAGACTAGCCAACATTTTTTTAAGTACTCAGTAGCTGCATATGGCTATTGACTATTCTTTCAGAGAGTTACAGTTCTAGAGAGATTTTGTATGTCTACATATATACATACATACATACATATAGTTTAATGGACACACAGCAGTTGTACATATTTATGGGATATTTGTGGCATTTCATAGAGTGATTCTTTAGCTCAGTTTTCCAGATCACTAGTTTAGTCTTTAGTTATGTCCATGGTGGTGTTTGGGCTATATGTTTTTTATTTTATTTTATTTTATTTTGGTGATAAAGTCATCTCTTTTTTAAAATTAAATAATATTGTCCTCTTGCATCTAAGGATATTCATTATACTTATTATTGTTACTATTTTGGTACCAGGGATTAAACCCAAGGGCACTTAACTACTGAGCTACATCCCCAGCCCTTCTTAAAATTTTTTTAAATTTTGAGACAGGATTTCACTAGGTTGCTTATAGCCTTGCTAAATTGCTGAGGCTGGCTTTGAACCCGGGATCCTCCTACCTTAGCCACAACTGGCTATTATTCTTAAATCTTGGTGTGTCTGCTATGTAAACTCAGTTTCCTCTCATGTAAATTCTTTTTGTATTGAGTACTGTGACTTTGGGTGTTGCCTTTCCTTAACTTCTTGGTGGATCTGGTTTGTGTGTTCATCTCACACTTGAAATTCCCTGTGGCCTGTTTGTGAGTACGACATCTGCTTACCATGGCCTCCTTCCTGACACGTGGCCAGGTCCTATGAAGTGTTGTTGGCTGAGTGTATCAGAAGCTCGTCTTCTGGTATTTCTCTTCCTCCTGGCTGATAACCACTATCAAGCCTGCAGATCTGACCCAAGCATCTGGTCTCCTCCTGCTCCCCATAGAGAGTATCTCTGAATCCCCTCTTTCTTTGGCAGCAGCTTTTTTTCTGTGTGCATTCAGAGTTGTGGTTTCTTCTTTCAGAAAGAATAAAACATCTGCCTTTCATTTTTCACAATTGCCCGTGGTTTCTGTTATACGGGAACCTTACTTACTTACTTTAGGGAGTTGTAAAATACATCTTTCCCATCATTTCTGGGGATTTGGGGTGGGAGGAGATGGCTACAGTGTACCCTATCTGCTAACGTGATATAGTCAGGGCTGTTTATTTTATAGCATAGCCTCCCAGATAATGGCGGGTTGAAGGCTGCCTCCTGGGGAACCTCAGCACCTTCCTGATGCACTCCCCATTACTCTTGGTCTTTCCTTCAAGTTGTGATAGCTCTGTTCTTACTTTGACAGCACCTCTGGTCATGTGTTTCAATTGTAATTGCTCTTCTTGGGGCAAGAAGAGAAGCAGCAGAGGAAAATGCCTGAGCAAATTCTAATGACTTGCCTGTGCCAGAGACCTGGGATGAAAACCCGCTCTCTGATGCCAACAGGGAGCCATTTGGATATTTTATCTGTAAGCTAAGCCCCTGAATTTTCTGAAATTCCTCAAGCCCCAGAGGCCTTTACTGGCACAAGTAGGATGCAGGTTGTGCTGACTAAACATAAAGAGATTTCATTTATTCTGTCAGTCACAATGGATTTCCAATAACCAGCCTTAAGTTGGTTAGCATGGATTTCTAATCAAGACCCAGATAGATGGAGCCAAGAAAGAACCCACAGAGCTTGAGAAGAAAGGAAAATAACATAATTATACTGTAAATATAGCTTAGAAGCTGGAATGATCATTTCATGAAAGTGTATAATACAGGCACCTGAGGGCTGAGGTTTTGGGGATGTTTTTATTTTTAAAACTCAAATAGAAGCCAGGCAGTGAGGCACAGGTCTGTAATCCCAGCTACTAGAGGCTGAAGCAGGACCATAGATTCCAGGCCAGCCTGGGCAACTTAGCAAGACTCTGTCTCAAATATAAAACCAAAACGACTAGGGATGTAGCTCAGTGGTGGAGCACTTGCCTACCATGTGCTAGGGTTCAATTCCTGGTAACGGGTTTAAAAAAAAAAAAAAAAAAAGTCAAATGGAAACTTAACACCTCTTTTGAAGCTATTAAGACTGTTGGGCTAGTGGCTGAAGCCAGTTGGGGAATCTTGCTAGCAATTTCAGAAGTATTCCTCCCTTGAAGGATCACTTCAGACACCAAAGCTGTGGGCCCAGGCATCCAAATTGAGAAGAGCAGGCATAAACAAGAGGAAAAAGAAGTTCAGTAAGTAATGATCCTTTCTTGAGGAAATCCAGCCATCCCAAGGAAGGTTCTGTGACATGGGAGTCACTGGTTCTAGGTTAATGCCCTGTACCAACTTAGTCTCCCCTTTTCCAGCCAGGCTTCAGCTGTAATTGGGCCCTTGTCACCCAGTACCGGCCCTTTTTGCTTGCTGAGTCTTCTCCTAACTGTCTTCATTTTTGGAACAAAACCAGCACTTAGTGCAATCCCGCATTTACTGTGTAATTCCCATCTGGTCTGATTCCATTCCCTCCACTTCCATGAACATTTAATGTGGTTTATTGGCTCCAGTATGGCCATAAAACCCCATCTGGATGACCAGGCTTCTAGTCTTGCACAGGAGGTGTTTTCTTGTCAGGGTAGGTTGGTTTGCTCATCTGCACAGGCTATGTGCCACGACCCTTCTCCAGTCCTTCTCAGATTCCTCTCTTTACTAGGATCCTACAGGTTCTAATAAAATTTGATCGATCTTTCCAGCAAAGAAGTGAAGTAGAAAATGGCAGCTGCATAAAGGGATTTTCAGAGATGACTTTTCTTTGTACTTACATGGTGTCTGTGCAGCCTGCCCTCAGGACCTGGGCACAGCTGAGTGAAGCAGTTTCATCTCTGTCATGGTCTTGGGAGGCAGCCGGGAAGCAGGTGCTGCTCTCCATATGATCTGGGCGTGAGATGGGTACAGCGAGGCTGAGTGATTTCCCAAGGTCACAGTGAGACAGTGGCAATCTTGTGCCTCTGCATTCTCTGGGGGACCCTCTGCACTTCACATGTGCAGACAGAGCCAGGTTAACTTGCAGATTAGAGCAAGCTAAGCCTCACAGTCTACCCTCCATAGTGTGCACTGGTCTGGGACAATGGGGACCTCTGTGTTCCTGGTACACGATCATGTGTCCGTCTACTGATGGTGAGTCCAAGTGAGGTGCTAAGGGAGAGGCAGACTACCTCAAATGTACAGGTAAGTGAAGCAGTGCCATATGCTGACATAGTAAATGCTGATTCAAAGGAGGGAAGCTGTTTCCTGAACGCTGGGATATAGGGAGTGAGTGACTCGTGTGCATTGCCCTTTCACTTGACCCTGAAGCAGGGCAGAGGTCAGCTCCCAGATCAGGACCTGGCTCCAGCTGACACATTACTTTAGAAGTTGGTACACTGCCCCCACAGGAGGCTGTGCTCATTTAGTCACACACCTACCAGGAGCCCTCTGTGTTTGTGTGTGTGCAGATGGTTCTGTTAAATGTAAGTGAAGACACTCAACAATTGCAGAGCCACTGTTCAGTAACAGGATGCACCCAACTCCTCCAAAGGAGGGGCATGTAGGCTTCCTTTTCTCTCTCTCTGATGGCTAATAAGCAAGGGAGTCAACACTGTTTGGAGAGAACACTGCATGACAAATCCCTGTAAGGACAGTTACAGTGGCAGGTGGGTCCTGTTTATCAACGTGTCACAGAGACCAGATTTGGAAGGGCTTGATATGACTTGAAGTAGAGTGCAGGTAGCCATGCAGGAAGGGGCAGGCACATGAGACTTAGCCTAAGGGCTCAATGACACACGGTGGGACTGTCCCCCAAATTGTCCCTCATCCCTAGATCTGTACCACCTCACAGTTTACCCATGATGGAGGGACTCCAGATGGCTGAGCTTGAAGACAACATTATCAGGGGAGGGAGGAGAGCCAAGAAAAGAAAGTGCTTCTAAGGAAGGAACTATC